CCACCACAGAACAACCCCCACTCCCAGCCGGGGCATTTTGGTGCTGCTTTATTGCCCATAAAAGCTGGCAAAAGTTGAGGTTATTTGGAAAAGTCTAAAAGAATTCAGCTTTCTTAAAGACAGAGCGTTTTAGGGCCTGAGCAGTTCCTGGGATCAGTATCACTGCTAAGATGCTTACAGGCTTAATTCCCTCGATGACCCCAGGCTCTGTACACAGCCAATGAAGATGGACAAATGGAATTCAAAGCACAGAGCACTGTAAAGATCCATCATTAAAAATGAGCTCAAGAGCAAATCTCTTTTTATTCTGCTTTGGTTAAAGAATGGCAGCAGGTTTGGATAACTAGTCACGGTAGCATCAGCTTCCTTCACACTTACTTAACAGGACATCATTTCATTTAAAAAGATCGAGGGGACAGTGTTACATGCTCAGACAGCACAGCGATGAATGTGGCATAAATACCTGGGGAGACAGATTAGTTTGCTATTTCTGCTCACAGCCTTCTCCTAGGAGCACAGAAATGCCATCTCAGCATGCTTTTTGGAGGATTAGAAAGTCATAATAAACACAAGGATAAAAATATGCCATGGGAGTTACAGCTAATTTCTTGCTATAATTTGCAGCAATTTACACATAATCATTTGAAAATACTGCAGAGTGCCAACAGCCAAGTGTCTGCTGCAATGGTGCAAATCAGGAAAATGAAAAATGCAGTTAGGGCTGAAGAACCCTCCAGAAGGGTCATTTGGGATATCAAGTTCACAAGCTCTTCCTTTCAGTTGAGTAATGAAGGAGATTTTATTCTACCACATGGAGCCCAGTTTCTTAGGCTGTAAGGTGGATGGAATGACCTTCATTACAACTGACTTCAGGCCTTAGAAAAGTCCTGCCAAATAGCAATGTAGTCTCTGTCTTTTTCTTGAACATGAAGGGGTGTTAAAAATTTTTATTAAAAAAAGGAGGCTGAAAGCAGTAGGCACCAGCATCATGACATTTCCATGCAAATACACATTTGAAAGGTAATAAAACTGTAGTAAAATTACTGAATAAGGGTTCAGAAACGTGTTTTAATATCAGTATTTATTTTAAACGGATGAAAATTACTGAAATCCCATTACACATTCATTTCCTAATCATAATTTCCATCTAAATATCTGGACTGATTATAAAAGAAAATATCTGTACACTATACATTTGTATTTTTATCTATTTTATAACTTTAAATATTTCAAAACAATTTGAAAGGGGAATAAAAACAAATGTGCCCCCAGACCAGAACCCCGCATGTAAAACAAACTAAAGATGAGTTATGAACCTTCATGAAGAGGAATTTATAGTAGAAATACCAATGTTGCTGCAACCCTCTTTTATAGGGTCATCAACAGAGGGGATATGGAAAAAGAGGGGTGAAATGATTTATTAAGAGAATACATTATCTTCTAAAGGAAAGATATTTAATCTGTGGATCACAAACACTTGACCCAGGGCAAAGGTCACCAGTAGTACCAGGAGCAGATGCAGCCTTGATTTAAATAATGGAGAAGTACAGGAGGACAGAAGCCAGCACACTCCTAGGAGAGCTGATATAGAGGACTGCAAAGCTCCAAGGCACCCAGGTAACTTGTAATTGGTAAAGTGAGCTGGAATTTTAAAGTGATTTATTTTAAAAACATGAGATACATAAGCTTCTCTTGGAAAACCAAATAGCAAAGAATTTAAAAGCATGTCTAACATTAAACTATTAAGAGCTTTAATGAATAGCTGTTTGATTTTTTTTCCAAAGACACCTGAAGGAACTGGGCACCTATATCTTATCCATGCTCAGTGGAAACTCTTTACCTAAATCTTGTTCATATTTTGGAATTGTGATTCAGTGGGACTCTCTGTATGCTAAGCAAGGCTCAGGTATGTCACTGAAATGCTGTCTCACCACATTTTGAGCATCACCAGTGTCTAAGATAGGTTTAGGTGTTGAATGCCTGTCTCTCCTGGCAGCATTATATAGCTGAAAGACACAGATCTGAACTAAAGCTGCTGATCAATCACAAATGACTGTGCACATGGTCACCTCCCCAGGGGAATGAACCAACACTCAAGATCACCCTTGACTCGTGGGTGCCAGGGACATGCAAAGTTATTATTTTGAAGCATGAGCTCTTGACTTATTTCATGAATACTCAAAAGCAGATTTTAATTTTTTCCCTTCTGGCAGCAAATGTTTTCAGCCCAGAAGCTGACTCTAGTGTTTCTGCTGGCATCTGCAAGAACTTACCAAACTTCTACCAAGACTTGTTCATGCTTCATTGTCTGGGAAGCTTAGGGACCTTTACATTTCTGTGGCTCACTGCTGACAACGATGACTACGTGTTCAAATTCTCTTAATCCAAGATAAACATTTGGAAAGGCTTATGAGAATGTAGAGCATGTGTCTGCACACATGCACGTGATGACACATGACACATGCACAGTGGAGAAGTATGTTTGGCTGCTCCTTGGCTTACAGTGATGACAGAACGGAGGATTCAGAAGAAAACAAGCTCTGACTTGAGATGAGTTACTGGGGAAGTGACGAAGCAGCAGCTGAATCCTGAGTAACACAGCCAAAGCTGGCCATTCCTACAGTTCCCTCGGGTCTCTGGAGTGCTACAGAGGAGTCATAAGGGCAAGTTGAATGACCACTTTCTCATGTTTGAGAAGCACCATGGTGTGCAACTGCATTTGATCCATCCTCTCAGCCTTTCCTTTGTGGTATTTTGGGAGCAGGACAGCTTATGCCAAGTTGCTCAGCCCTCAGTCATTTCAGATGGCACCACAGCTCAACAGTGAGCTGGAGTAGTTATTTGCTTTAGTTTATGCTGGGGACCACTTTGGCTTTCCAATTAGCCCAGAATGCCTTAGCTGGCCCAGAGGATGCAAAACCAGCTGCATCCTCCCATCCTTTCTGGAGCTTGCCTTCATTGCATGTCTGAAACACAGACTGCCAGCAGGGTCAAAGTCTCTCTTTCAATTGCCACAGAATTGGAGATCCAGGATCCCAATATTTTGTCTCCATCCTAGAAACATTAGGAGATGGTCTTAAATGTTTTAAAGTTGACTGCTCCCATAATTTATGGAGATGACCTTTCCAGGAGGCTTTGGTGCTTCCTGGCTGGGAGAATTCACAGAATCAGAGAATCTGAATGGTCTGGGATGGAAAGAACCTTAAAGATCACCTAGTTCCAACCCCTGTGCTGTTGGCAAGAGCACCTTCTACTAGACCACGCTGCTCAGAGCCCCACCCAACCTGGCCTCCAACACTTCCAGGGCTGGAGCAGCCACAACTTCTCTGGACAACTTCTTCCAGTGCCTCACCACCCTCACAGTAAAGATTTTTTCCTAATATCTAATCTACACCTACTCTCTTTCAGTTTGAAGCCATTCCCCATTGTCCTGTCATCCATGCCCTGTAAATAATGTCCCTCCATCCTTCCTGAAGGCACCCCTTAGGCTCTGCAATTAGGTCAGCCCGAAGCCTTCTCTTTTCCAGGATGAACAATCCCAATTCTCAGCCTCTCCTCATAGGAAAGATGATCCATCCATTTAATCAACCTAGGGGCCTCCTCTGGCCCTGATCCAGCAGATCCATGTCTTTCCCGTGCCGAGGACCCCAGAGATGGGCACAGCACTGTCCCAGAGCACAGTGGACACAGTGGGGACCCAGAGCCTGGAGGGACAATCCCTCCCTCGCTCTGCTGCCCACGCTGCTCTGGCTGCAGCCGGGGGCTTTGGAAACACATCATCACTTATTAACTCATCTCATTAGCGGGGTGCATCCCAATCCCACGGGATTTGCTGCACAGAGAGCCCCAGAGCCCCAAAGCAGGGATGTGCGGCGCAGCTCCCCCGGCTGCGACTAGATGTCAGCACTCCACTGGGCAAGCTGCCCCAGCGCAGCATCCGCGGCAAATGAAAACCACCGAACCTGCCCGGCTCTCGCACCACGGCTGTGCAGGACAGCTGCAAAGCTCCAAGTGAACCGAGCTGCTCTTTCGCCATGAAATCCAATACCACGCCAAAACAAAAAAAAAAAAAAAAAAAAAAAAACCCCCCAAAACAAACAAAAAACCCACCCCGGTGTGACCCTCAAAAAGAGAGGAAAAGGAGAGGGGAAAAAAAAAATCTTCAATCGCTTTCTTAAGGCCTTGGACTGTTCTTCCAGACCAAAAAAAAAAAAATCACAGTTCCTACAATCACCTGGAACTGGAACAACTCTGGCAAGGCAGATGCAGCACAGATAGCTCAGCAAAGCTTTTGTTATTTGGCTTGGTTTTGTCTCGAACGCGATGAGATAACATCGTCTCTCACAAGTCAGTTTTATGAGGGTCTGTGAACTCAGTCCCCATCTGTTCTGGAAAAATAAGCCTTTTCAGGTTAGAGTAGGGTGTGGATTCAAATCCACAGAGCATAGATTTAAATCAAAGTATCTGAAGCACCTTCCAATTGCCAAGTAGCGAGGGGAGGGTTTGCATTTGAGCTTCCCTGTCAAGCTGGTTTCTGTTTCAAGCCTTTTATTAACAATTAACACTTAAAGTATATCCAGCAGAGAGGAAAACAAGAAAGAAGCAGTGCAGTGTATGAGAACACAGTCTATGCAGCACTGGGGAGACAGAGCAGGTAGGAAACAAAGTAGAGTTTCATTAATTCAGAGGTATTCATTTACAACTACAAAATGAGAATAAAGTCTGCTAGAAGCAAGCAAGACACTGCCTAACGCAGAAAATGGGAATTAAAGCATTAGAGTGGCATGATGCAAGAGATCCCAAAGCTGATTTCTTGGAGTGTTCAGAGTTGACTATTATCAACTTGTGTGTATAGACACATCAGGTGTCACTGAACATCCAACACTTGGAACTGCACACTGCACTCTATGGAAAACATTGCAGGAGAGAGAGCTGGGACATTTCCAACAGCCCCATCCTGAGCTCTGGTCACAGTGTCACAGCTGGCTGCTCGAGATCTCTGCTCAGAGCTGCCACCCTATCCTGCGAGCTGAGCCCTCAGCTTCACCTCACAGCCCTTTCAGAAATCAAGAGGCTGTAAGTAGAAGCATTTTCGCCGAAATTGCCAAGGTATTAACACTGATTTCTTCCAATAATGGTGACATATTCATAGTCTTATTTCATTACTCTCCTCAGAATCCTAAATGCTCCACTAATGAAGAAATAGCTCTATCTGCCTGTGCTCTGCTACTGTCAATGATGAAGAAAACAAGACTGGTTGCCTTAGGTATTGTTCACTGTTCTCATATTCAACTACTACTTGTTGCTATAATAAAATATAAAAAATATAATTAATGTAATATAATAAAATATAATGTAATATAATTTATATTCTCAGAGAATACAAAAAACTTTTCATTAATTAATTGCTAAGAAATTCAGAAGTGATCTATAGTTTCACAGACTGTGCTATATAGGAAGAGTATTATTGTGATGTCTGCTGTAGTACCTCTCTCAGCCCTGTCTACATCTCACAGGACGGGAGCTGGCTGGGTGAACAATGACTTCCCTCTGCACCAGAAATTCCTGTCCAGCTGGAAAGAGTTAGGGACTGTTACACTCCTTTTTCTTTTTCTTTTTTTTTTTTCTCTTTTGCATTCCTCATAAAATTATAATATTTTGCTGAAATCACAGAACATAACAAAGGCAAAGTCAGCCTGATAGCTCTGCCAAAGCAGTAGCTACAGGTACTGGATAGGAAACACCTCTGAACTTTCAAAATAAGCTTTAGTAAGAACATGAGTGTATGAAAGGGGGGACATCCAGCTTCCCATATCCAGCCCATTCCCAATCCTGGCATCTCATCCTTCCTGGGGGTAACATCTAACATTGGAGTTCACCAGCTCACACTGCCCTCTGAAACACTTTCTCTCCCAAAGGTGAACATAATACCAAGCCCTCTCTCTCTTTGTTTCCAAGGGAAAGTGAGGGGAATAATCCTGAAGAGCTGGATGCTGTGCTGTGCTGGCTCCAGCTCGAGGTTTCAAGCCCTGCTATGATGGAAGATTACTGTGTCACTCTCGGCCAGACTCACCACATACAGAAAAAAAACTGAGCAGGAAATGGAAATTACCTTGGTCTACTCAATGGGTTTCTGCAAAAACTGTGATGTCAGAGCAGCAGCACACGCATTCTAGGGGGCTGGCTAGGGTTAGCAGTGTGCTGACACCAGAGCTGTTTCAGTCCACACACGATTTCCCCAGTGTAATCAGGTGCCAGTGCTGTGCTGACATCTGAGACTGCAGCTCTGCTCCTCTTCCATAGGTCTGAGCACCAGGGAGTGCCCAGGACTGGAAACAGGCTCACAGCCACTCCTGGCGCAAAGAAAAGCAGTTGGTGTGGGGTGCTGGGAGTGCCTTTTGCTTTCAAAGAAGGAAGAGCAGTGGAAGAAAGGTGGGTAAGAAGCAGAGGGATAAAGATGGAGAAAGAGAGGGGTCTCCAGACATCAAAGTGCTTGCTGCTCTTTGAAGCCTTTGCAAGGTGGTGAATTTCTCTGCAAACACATCCTGACCCCTCAGCAACATCAGATTGCCTCAGGAGAAAGCTGGCTAAATACCCCTGCCTCTTCTCCCAAAAATAATAGGTTGGCAGAAAATTTGAATCTAAGAGCAGTTATAGGAATAATGATACTTCTTTGTTACCTGTTCTGAAAGATCCAGGTGGTATCACACATCACTGTCCTTGTACTTTCCATCCCATGTTCTGACATGCTGCCTGCATTAGCATTGTCTTTCATACTTAGAACATCTTTCACAGCATGGGCTGTAAAGATGTTATGGGCAAAAGAAATCTTTGAAGCTTCTCATTCAAATCTTCAAAGAGTGACCTTGAAGAGCACTCAGAGAGAATGTGGGGAAGTCTGGAACAGGGATAATGCTATAAAGCTGACTTTCCCCTTTGTCCATCCATAATTGTACCACTGTTGTGCTCCCACTTTTTGTAATTCTGTAAAACTCCCTGAGTGCTGAAGAAAGGTTATCCATTCCTCCATCCTGTTAGGAATATCTACCAGTTTCTTCACAAAGTTGTGACCAGAAATAACCCATAAACCTGCAATTACAGCCTTAACCCCGGCAGTGAGGAGAGTGGACTGGGGGTGCGGGGGGGGCTGCATCTCCAGCAGCATGAAATACTTGGGCATGTTTTTTCAAGCCAAATGCCTAACCTTTGCTAGCACACACCATTCTTGGAATTTTGCAAGCCAAATGCCAAACCTTTGCTAGTGGTACGTAGCAAAAGTCCCTAGAAAATGCCAATTTACTCTGCTAAAGAATGTGGTAAAATCTGGTCGATTTTAGCTGCGGAATCACTCTGGAGAAATAAATCACTCAAGACATAAAAGTAGACATACTTTTTCTTTCATTTCCTCTGTGACATATTCCCCAACGCATACCATTAAGTCACTGCCTTTTACAGGAAATTCTGTGGTAAAACCAGAAAGATTCCATCAAAACCAGACGAAACAAAACCGTGTGCATGTCCTGTGGCTGCTCACTGCTGACCCTGATCAAGAGCAGTGAACTGCTGTCTGCATTTTGTATTGAATGGAAACTGCTGAGTTCTATTACGTTTATTACTTAGCTCAGGATTATCTGCAATATGTGCTCCAGGAATCACACCTCGGACCAGCCCAGACCAGGGTTGCTCATGTCCTGCGAACCACAGCATCTTCCCTGCAAGACCAAACCGAGGAGGCTCTCAGGCCACTCCTGGACAGGATTGACATCACCTCTGTAGCTGCTGCCAAGAGAATTTTCAAGGGAGTCATGGATGAAAAGTTTGCTGATGGAAATACTAACTGGGGACGAATTATGACCATATTTACGTTTGGAGGTCTTCTCACCAAGAAGCTTCAAGAGCATGGGGTTCAGCTGACTGCAGAGGAGAAGGAGGAGATCTCTTATTTCATCACAGAGTACATCATCAACAACAAATCCGAATGGATTGATGCGAATGGTGGCTGGGTGAGTTTCTCATTTCCCACCAAAGTCTAGATTAGGAGATTTCATTAATTATTGCTATAGACACTGTCAAAACCATTTTATTCAGGGTTTCATTTGGTGGTTTAATATTTGGTGTCTGGAATGTCCCATTGAGACTGTGAAAGAGCTTTGCTTCTGCTTTAAACAGAACAGTGGTAAAAGACAACTTTATTTTTAAAAGGCACTTCCCAGTTTTGAATAACAGGATCATACCACAATTCAGGTTGAGAATGACCTTAGAAAATAATTTGGACCAGCCTCCCACTCAAAGCATGTTAAAGTACACATACCCTGAAATTTCCATTATTAAATCTAAATTTAAGTGGCATCCTAAGGTTAGCACAGCAATTTTGCTTTCATAGAGGACTTGGTCGAAAAATGCTTAAGTTCAAGGTAAGGAAAGAATACACAGGTGTGATCCTCACAAATGAAGCCAGCACTTTTGCTGTAGATTTCAACAAAGCCATTATTTAATCCCCCAAATCAGTTTTACTTACAACAAATGTACAGGTAAGTACAACTAGCATGAAATCTTTTCTGTTTGGACTGAGATAATCCTAGAACTTCTATCTATGAATAGTCAATGCACAGAAAAATATTTGTTACTAAGTGGACTGTTTTGCCAAGCTGCTGAAATTCCCATTCTGCCAGTGAAGGGAAAGTAGAGAAAGTTGCTTTTGCTTTGCAAAGTTTCATCAAGCCAATACTTTTTTTTTTTTTTTTGGTAAGGGGAACTGAGAAGGAACTGAGAATCAATGACACCAGTGTCAGTTATTTCCTTGGTACTTTTTTCCTTTACTTATATGTAGATTTTACTTTCTATTTCCACCCCCTCTCCTCCCACTTCTCTCATATTTCCTACTACTTTTTTCCCCCTGATTTATTTTCTAGTGTCTTGCTTTTCCTTTTTTTTTTTCCTTTCTGCTTGTTTTAATCCTTCTCTGTCTGTAGCAGCAAAAAAAAAGGTGATAGTGACTCATGGCCCCTTGATGCATGGGATTTATTATAAAGGCTTCTCTTTCTATCTCTTTCAAATAGAGTCAATTTTATTTCAGAGAAGTATCAACTCCTGGCAACATTCTGTCATAATAGGTGGCTCATCATAGCAGAATAAGGAAGCTTAAAGGAATATATTTCTGAGTGTATTACTACATCAGAATCATAGTACTTGTACCTTCCTGGAAGATGTGGGCTCAGATGATAGAGTTCATGTTTGTTTTCTATTTACACAGAGAGGGCATGGTCTTGACTTGGAGATGAAACAAACATTCAGCAAGGTGCAGCTATTTTCAGCTACTGTTTTTAAAGCCCTATTCATCTTTTAGAGGCAGAGCTCTGAGAAGCTGTCCCTCACTGCACAGTGCTGCAGCACCTTTAATCTGACACAGACAGCAGTGTGGTTTCTCCACATGTCGTTTTTAAGCTGTCCCTAAGTGTGCATGTTCTTTTCCACAGGAAAATGGCTTCCTAACAAAGTTTGAAAGAAGATCACTACTGTCTTTCTCCAAAATTACAGCCCTGCTCATAGCTGTTGTTTCCTTGTTGAGAGAGTACTACTGAAGTAAAAGGATCTGCCATTCATCTGTAATCTGATATTGCCACAAGCTTCATCTCTCAACCTTCCTCCAAGCAATATTAACAAGAGAATAATTTCCTTCCATAATTTGTGTTTAATTTATTTGTATTTATTTTGTCTAAATACAATGTTTAATATGCTATCCTAATTACCAAATCTGAAGTTGAGATCCTTCCAAAGGGGAATCTGCACAACATCTTGCAGCAATTCAAGTCCACCTTGCCAGGCAGAATTGCTTTGAGATCATTCTCCACATCCAGACAGCTTCTGAATCTCTCTTGCATCTCCATGAAAGGACATTGTCTTAGTGAAATACAATCCAATGGGTTAAGAAATAAGTTTTTATGTCATTTGTTTTGTAAATGAAAAACTACTGTAATGCATTTTATTGCAACCTCTATATAAGAAAAAGGGGGGAATTTTTGTGAAGAAAAAAAAAAAGGGAACTCCAACACAGAAGTGGATAGAAGTTACTGACACAGACTAAGCAATTTCTTTGGGAAGAACTATTTGTGGAAGCTAGCAACTTAAAAATGTGCACTCACTTACTGTTAATGCAATGGTATGTGTTTTTGTGCTGTATTTTTTTAATTGCTCACATCTACAATGAATGTTCTTTCACTTTTGTGTGATGTAGTCAGCTGGCTGAATGTTTTTTAAACTAGATGTTTAAAAATAGGCAAGTACAAAATATTTTTTAAATGAGAAATTTTTGTAAATACACTAATATTTTAAGAAAATGTATTAAAATACATATTTTAAACGTATAACTGGTCTCATTTTTTCCAGAAAAGCTGTAGCATGGGAAAAGATCTGCCTGACTAAGATAATCTTAGGAGAGCTATCACAATGCTGCTGGAAAATCTAAGTAGTTTATGGGTTTGACCTGGTGACCATGGATGTCAAGACTTTAATTTCCATTTTCAGATAGGTACTATCTGGTAGCTTGTATAAGAAACAGGTATCTTGTGGCAAAATAAAGGAACTGGATCAGCTCTAATGACAGTAATTTGTGTTTTGGGATGCATTGTAAAACTTAGCTAATTAGGAGAGTGATGTAAGAGACTTACAGGCTTTTACAGTCTGGGGCAATTCATGTTTTTACTCAAATTCCATTTGCTTTCAAAGGCTAAGTAGTTCTTCAAGAATTCATTCTAGAAGGGTTTTCTTCAGCTGTACTGACTTTCCATTAGGGAACTAAGGCTGGGTCTAAACACCTTTCTTTTTTTAGACGTGTTGGGAGGTGAACCAAACTGAGCCAGCAGCTGCCTGTGGCACACACCACCACTGTTCTCTGAGACAGAGCCTCTAAAATACCCAGCTTTGTGACACTGAGAGAACAAATCAGCCTCTGCTGGCCATGGGCTCTCCATCTTTCATCTCAGCATAAGACTTTTTTTTTGCAGTAGGGACATCTTTTACTGGAACAACCTGCCCAGGGATGTGGTTGAGTCCCCCTCCCTGGCAGTTTTCAGGATACAACTAAACAGGGCACTAGACAGTTTCATCTAGACTCCCTTTTCCAGGAAAGATTGGACCACACGAGCTTTCAATATCCCTTCCAGCCTGGGTTGCTCTGTGATTCCATGGCTTAACCTGGTGGGTTTAACCATAGAACACAAACAGATGATAATGTTTGTTAGAACGTGTATTTCTCCCTCCTCAGTGAAAAACAAGAAACGTTATTTAGCATGCAGGCAGGATTTGTGAAGTAAACTTTGTTGCTGTTGAAGATGGCAGCATTCAGAAGGCAAGGGACAGCTAAAGGCAAATGCCCACCTCCAGAACACCTATGGCAGCATCATCAGAAATGACATTTTAAGACATGACATATATGTCTCTATTAGCCTAAGTCTTCATGGTAAGAACAGTAATTCTTACTCAGTTCCTTTTAGAGCACTACTGCAAGCACGTATTTTAGTGGCTAACACCAATCTATTAATACCGCATCCACTTCCTTTTACACTGATCTAGTAACCTACTTTATACTCAGAAATACAATTTTTTTAGTTAAATGTAAAGGGCGACTGTGTCTTTTCAAGATGTAGGTGATACAATAATTTTAGAACTTGCCTTCGTGGTAAGGGCAGGGTTTAAACAAAAGAAGCCTGGATCATTAATGGTCCAGTGGGCTCCAGGTTAACTTCGTCAGGACAAAACCTCCTTTTTTCAGTGCAGAGCAAGAAAAGCAGTGATGACATGTACCACCCCAATTCTAAGCATAGTAAAACACCTGAAAACAGCAGGGCTATTAGCTAAGTTTTATAAGATAGTGTAGATGTCACGAAGTTACCCAGGTCCTGGGGCACCACTGTTTAAGGGATCCTTGGATCTGCCAGGGGAGAACAAAGTGCTGCTTCTAGAGCAAAAGGTGAGGTCAAAGAACTGCACCGTGTGACAGCTGATGTCTTCATGATGCACACAGCAGCTAAACTGCGATGTCATCAAAAGCCACATGGAAGAGATTTATGAAAACAGCTATTCTCCTATAGAAATGTCTGTATCAAATCACAGAATCAGCCAGGTTGGAAAAAACCTCTGGAGTCGTTGAGTCCAACCTTTGACTGGTCACCACCACCTTGTCAAGTGGACCACGGCACTAAGTGCCACATCCAGTAATTTCTTTAACTCTTGCAGGGATGGTTCCACCCTTCCCTGAGCAGTTAAATGTGTGCTGGACCCAGAGGCCTCCTTTGGGATGTGGCTGGCACATTTTCCCTGTGGGCACAGCTTCAGGGCTGGACATCGATGGATGACCTGAGCCACAGGAACAGGGCTGTCCTTCACACCCTCCCCAGAGCCCAGAGTGTCACAGGGATATGAAACTGATGGGCAGACGGTGCTAAAACATCCCGCGGAATGTATTTTCCCTTCCTGCAGCGAAGTTAAAGAGGAAATTCTATGCGATCTGCAAAGGGGGAAAAAAACCACCCACTACCAGAAAAAAACAAAAACAAAAACAAAAACCAAACCCACCAAAAAACCCTCAAACAACAAAAAAGGCACGCTGGTGTCGGCAGGGGCCCCCCAGCACGGCGGGGCCGGTGCCAGCGGGCTCGGAGCGGAGAGCGGGCGGTCCCGGGCCCGCCCTGCCCGGCTCCGGCGCGGCGCTCGGGGCGCATGGAGCGGGCCGGGCACGGCCGAGCCATGGCGGCGGCGCTGAGGGCGGCCAAGCAGCAGCTGCGGGCGGAGCTGCGGCAGCGCCTGCGGGAGCTCGGCACGGCCGAGAAGCAGCGCCAGTCCCGCCTGCTCGGGCGCAAGGTGGGTGCGGGTAGCCGGGCACGGCCCGGAGCCGGGCAGCACGGCCGGGACTTTCCAGGCCCCGCTGCCGGTGATCGAAACCGTGACTCAGGGGCCCTGCCGCCGAGCGGGGGTGAGCTCCGCCGAGCGGGGGTGAGCTCCGCCTCGGAGCCTTCCCTCGCCCGTTCCGCTGCAGGGAGGGGAGCAGGGCTGGCGGCGCCGGTGTGACAGGAACTGCCGGCGGCACCGGCTGCAGCGGGGCCTGCTGGGGACACTTCTGCCCTGGGTGCTGGGGACACTTCTGCCATGGGTGCTGGGGACACTTCTGCCATGGGGTGGTGATCACCCTTCACCCCTGGCGTGCTGGGGACACTTCTCCCTGGAGCCTTGGTCACACTTCACCCCTGGAGTGGCGTGGTGATCACCCTTTGCCCCCGGGGATGCTGGGGACGCTTCTCCCTGGAACAGTGGTCACACTTCACCCATGGGTGCTCACACTTCACCCCTGGAACAGTGGTCACACTTCACCCCTTGGGGTTCTGGGGACACTTCAGCCCTGGAGCGGTGGGGACACATCACCCGTGGGTGGTCACACTTCACCCATGGCTTTTGGGGACAATGGGGACAGACTGCCGCACACCCCAAACACGGCTCCTCGGGGTGGTGGCGGGTGTTTATCTCAGCCATTCCACCCCAGCCATACATACAAAACCCAGCCACTGCCTGATCGGGCCTCTTGTTTTACACCCTGTCATCTCCCTTCTGTATCTTCCTGCAGTGTTTCTTCCACACAATTTTATTTCTAATATAATTTTTGCGCTCTAAAAGATATCAAGCAGGGCTTGCCTAACTGGTATCCTAGCACAGAGTGATATGGGTATGTACTTTTGAAATGTCCTGTTTGTGTTTGGATTACACAGTTTTTATATAGATGTATTTTATCATTTTAATAAACATAATAAAATTTTATTTTGCAGTCACTGCATGTAATAGAGCACAGTCCTCATTTTTTTTGCAGCACCAGCGGGTACTTCTAGATGATCTACATTTATATGGTTATTTTCCTGCCAGAGGCTCTCAAATCATTTATAGACTTCATTTACTACTAATGTGTAGCCACTTCATGAGTGGGATGTGGCAGCATAGAAACTTTAGGTGGTAGGAAGTTTTAACTGGAATTTACATAACCTTTTTTTTTTTTTTCATTGGGAATGCTTTTTAAAAACATATCTATATGTAGTGTCCTACTCTCATGGTAATGCATTATAGTAATCATACATCCTAGACTTAAATCTCTCGAATTTTAGCTAATACTGGCATGCATCACCTTTAAAAATTCAGTCCTCAGACAACTTTTAAGCACCTAGCCCCTGTAGTACTGAATTTTTAGGAGCCCTCAGCCTTTGTCTAACTGCTGCTGATAAACACAGCAACACAGCACTCATTTCATCTAGTGAGAGCACACTAAAAGATACAGCCTTTGTTTTGCTTAAAAGAAGGCATCAGGAAATATGACATAAATTGATGATATCTTGCCATTTTCTTAATCTGACACAAATTGAAAATCCTGAGCTTGCTTGAGACAGAGTGGCTCTGTGCAAATGGCAGAAAGTAGAGTTGGCTTCCTCATGGGGGATGGGTAATACAGCAAGCATGGAGAAATTTTGGAAAAGGCTGAGAAAATACTTGGAATGATATAAGGCCAGAAATGTAGCTTTGTAACATACATCAGTGCTTGTAGCTAATAAAAGTGAGCAGGTTATTTTATAACACCTGAGTAATATTTTTAGTAGTAAAATCTAATTTCAAAATAATCTTTAAAATCAAAATGAAATAGCTCCACAGGCTGACCTAGCCACGAGTATTTAATTAGCTTCTGGATGATTATTCTTTTTTAATGCTTATGTTCATGATTAAAGTAATGCTATTTGTATGCTCTGATTCTGAAAAAATTGCCATCAGCTGGTGAACAAAGGGAAGATAATATTTGTTAAGTGTGGAAATTTTTTCAGTCTTCTCAGAAACTGCTCCGAGTCATAGCAGGAGCATCTGCACAATTCTGAGAATATCTGAAATTGTGTCTTCCTGCTCACATGTGGGTTTACATCTTCAACCTCATTTTTGTTCCTATACAGCCTCATTAATGTTACTGGATACATCACAGCAGATGGGACCTGTGTGGTACCCACAGCACACAGCCCTTGTCTAAAAGTGTCTCAGTGTCTCAGTTTCTCTCTTCACCAAACCATGAGACGTTTTGGCTCTGGAGGCCCTCAACATGAGCCACAGCTGTTTTCTGGAGTCTGCAGTTTGACTAAATAGTCTGCTTTTTGCAGCAAAATCTACCATGGAAATTCTGTTCTTTCAAGAGCTTAATCCTGTGGAAAAATCCATGTGTAGGGTTAGGCAGATAGAAAAGGAAATAAAATACAGTTTTGAATTGTTAAGATGTTTCCGTGGCCAAGCAACATTTAGTCTGAAGTTTTTTTTGCCCTTACAAAATTGTACCCATCTTCTGGATATTTCACCTGTTTTTTAACTGTTGTGATGGAAAGAAAATAAAAAAATGTAGTGGGAGCCAGATCTTGGCTCAGATATGGGCATTTGTATCTCAAAACAAGGCCAGGGCAAAGGCTAAAGCTCAGAAGAGTGAGTTACCCTGCAGTTATACAAACACTGAGCAGGAGATTTGGTGATCTCTGTTCTTAGATACTAGAGAGTTTCTCAATTGTCTGATATTTTTGACAGATTTTTGTAAGTTTATAAAATAAGAGTAAATCACATTTAAATGAGTTGAGACACATTTATATTTGTTTTGTCCAGATGTAACTGACAAAATATATAAGGTGCTAGAGAATGAAAAGACAAGCTTTTAGAAGCCTCCTTTCAAGTTTAATGTGGAATTCAGTCTGGAATGGGCAGAGACAAGTGAGGTATGAGTCTGCTAACACGTTTTCACCATGTAAGCATTTTTTATTTTCCCTCCTATATTCAGCCTTTTATAAGCCCAGTACAGAGTCTCATGAAAAGCAAAAAATGGCAAGGCCATCTTTCCTTCAGGCTCTGAAAAATGTGCAGTAATAAGATCATCTATTAGAAGCAGGTGATGTTTGAAGTCATATATCTCATCTTGCTGGAGGGAAGACATTCAGGTTAACAAAAGAAAGAGGGGCCTGGTCTTGGAAAGCTTTGTGTTCTGCAGTCATCTGCTCTAATTTTCCTTTGCGTTATTGTCATTGAGGTGCTTCCCCTTCTCCTAGGCCCACAGGAGAGATGCAGCCTGTAAAAAGAAAGAAAAGAAATGCTAAACCCTCATGGCTTGCATAAGCTGGCAGTTCTGGCCTGCTGTATCTTTTTGCAGTGATGTTGGGCATTTGAGGATGTCTGCACTGTATGGCACAGATCTTTAGGGGATTGGAAGATTCTCTACAAAATTGTTTTTTGCTGGCCCAAAAGTGTGTCTCAGTGTTTAGTTCACTAGATGCAAAAATTTGCCTATTTTGATTTTGCTGATGGTAGAAATGCTGGAGTATGCAACAAAGTCAGTTTATTCTGTTTATGATGTGTCAAAGTTTGTATCTCTACCCTTTTCAATGAATATTTTGCTCCAGTTTTGTGTTAAAGTAAGTTGATCTTTCAAAAAACTTCATAAACCGATTGTGTCAATTTCCCATATAGGTGATTGACCATCCCAAATACCAAGAATCAAAAAGAATTGCAATCTTCCTCAGCATGCCAGATGAAGTCCAGACAGAAGAAATCATTAAGGACATTTTTAAGCAAGGCAAAGAGTGTTTCATTCCCCGTTACAAACCTCAGAGCAATCACATGGACATGCTGAAGTTATCATCAGCTGAAGACATTTCTTCACTTGCATTGACATCCTGGAATATTCTTCAGCCCAGTGATGATGACACTGCAAGAGAGGAAGCTCTTGCTGGTGGTGAGTATTTTCTTGCTGTATCATGGGATTGTTGAGCAGGAGTAGCCTGGAGGCCAGTAGGAGATACTCTGATAGCAAGAATGAAATTAAATATTACACCTTGGTTTTATACGTGGTGGAGACATGCTCCTTTCTCTTGCCTGTTTTTCTCTACCCTATGGCACCCCTTTGACCCCTTTGCCAGCAGAGCAGGAACACGACTGCACTGATCCAACTGAAAACCCTCCAGATAAATCATCTTTGTGATCTGATCCATGAACATCCTCAGCACAGTCTCAGCCAGCGTAATGTCAGTGAAAGAGGGGTTTGCTGGGGGTAGCTTAGGCTGCCACTGAAAATCATGGGGATTCACAGGTTTGGGATGTACTCTGAGAACTTTGGTTTCTGCTGCCTGAAAAGCTGGCAGCATCTCAGGTTGTGCCTGTAGACTGAGAATTTTCTGAAATCTTTGATCCTGTGAATTGTGTTGCATGGATGAATCACAGTGCTGATATGGAGCCTGCCTTTGCAGAACAGCTCTCTGGACTGAGACCTTAGACTGAAAATGAAAGGACTTTCTTGGCAGCCTGCATGAATATTACAGTCTTTTCCAGCATTATTCTCTCACACTTTTATTATGATCTTATAATGCTGTCTCAGACACTGGATTCTTCACAGGGTTAAGAAGATACAAGTTCATTAAGATCAAACTTTTGTGTGTGTTTTGATCCTCAAATAACCTTTCTCTTAACCTAAAATGGCCCAACTCCTACTTCTAAACAAGCTTACTTTTTGTGTATTTGCATTCATTATTTGCATTCTTTTTGTAAACACTTTAATGTCTTCTTGAAACATCTGCAGAAATGTTTAATCTTATTAATGGAAAACTCATCTTGAACTTGTGCTTGAAACCTCAGCCTGGGAAGATTTACTACTCCAGATTGAAATTCACCATGCAGACAGCTTCCACACCTCACACACTTGCCAGCATTTTAGTGCTTCATAAAGGAACATAACATTTCTATGACTCTGTTTGATTGAACTTGGGCCTGTATTTGCTTTGGGATGCCAATGTACTTTCCCAGAATGCTTCACCATGTTTGTTTCTTTTATTTTCGGTCATTACCTCTTTCCTAATCCAGAATCTTTTCTGTGTCTACATTTTAGCTAGCAAGAGATTTCACTGCTTCATACAATCATCTTCTTTACATTTAATATTTAGCACTGTTTGCTGTTTTCTAATGTTTGCCAAAAAATTGTGTGTATTGGTGGGATTTAGGGACTTTTGAAGGTAACCTAAAAAATTTCTGTTGACTGGGCTTAGTTCAGGCACTCTGGACAAGCTTTTATACTACTGGTGAGCTGCTGTTAATTGAATTTAACAAGTCTGTTGCAGAAATCACAGAGTAAAAACACAATTTGGGGTATGATGGGAGCAAGGACTTCCAGGTGTAGAGTGCACTGAGATGTACCTGGGTGCCAGACAGTGAAGATGGGGAAGGCAAGGACACACTTTGGTAGCTGGCAAGTTCTGGAGCTGCTGCTTCATTCTCTGCACCAGAGAGCAGTGCCAGAAGAGCTCCTGTGCTCTACAGAGAGGTGCCAAGAGACCAGTTGTAAGAACTGATGTGTGTCCATGTCAGACTTGTTCTGCCTGAAACTCATTATAAGTCTGTTTGGACTGTTTGTACAGTAATTTTGGAATAACGCCATTTGGATTGGTAGTCAGACTTTGGTCCTTTATCTTAGAGCAGTTTTTGTAAATTAGAGAATAAGTTTAGGGTTTTTCCGCTGTTGCAGCATGAGACACATTCTACTAATTTGTCCCCACAGAAACATACACTTCATCTCAATATGTCTTTATATTCCTTTTGCTATATTTTTTGTCACCTGTTAGGTTTTTTGAACTTTGCTACAGTTGCAAGAATGCAAATTGCCTAGCTGCTACATCCATCCTCCATTGTTGGAATGACACATGGATGGCACATTTATCTCCGAGATGTTATCAAATACTTTGGTGATCTGAGGCATTTACATTGTTATAAGGAGATAACATGGTCTTACATTAGTAATGTTCCCATGGCTGGCATAAATTACTGTGTAATTTCCAAGAAATGGCCTGCAGGTACATAAATAAGCCATGTCATTTCTGAGCGTATTCATTTTGCATGACAAAAAGCCTAAATTCACACTGTCCTTAAAACTTCAGGCATGGTTACTGTTAAGCATAGCTCAAATACAAGATTGGGTGCACTTTTTGCATAGAGTTTCCCAGTCTTTAGTAGCACTCATGGGCAGTGTTGAATAGACATGAGCCCCTCCTTTTGGAGATGATCCTTTTTTCTGTTGGACCAAGGTTTACCTTTTTTCATCTTGGCACCACTCACATATGTTGGCATAAACAGAGATCACTGCTTTTGTGGTAGGAGAAAGTCTGTCATCTTCTCTACCATGTGTGGGTGACTCACTGGCATGTGAAAAGTTGCTTTCTTCAGGCTATTTGGACACAATAACAGCAAGAACAAAGGTGGAAGAAGTTCAGATATTTTGGCATACGGCTATATGTAGGTGCATGACTTGGTTTGTTTCCAGCTATATCTATTGAAAAGACTTAAGCAACTTCTGGGGCAAGCCTGTGATACATTTTCCTAATTATCCTGTGATAATTTTCCTAATTGCCTATCAGAGGTATAAATGTGCACTGGTATTGGGTTTTGCCCAAGGTGATACTGCTGATGAAAGTCCAGGCAGGTTGCAGTATTTGTTTACAAAAGTGTAAAAACCTTGCACAACTTTGGAAGGAGTAAATCAGATAAAACTGTACTCCTTGTTTGCTTTTTATCATTACTCCTACAGAAGTTTAAAGAGCTCTTCACCAGCAGTTTCATTTTCAGTGTGGTTTAGGGAGGTGTTGTGATTTCACTGAGCAGGACATGGGTTTCCCTATTTGTAATGTTATTTATTATTACTTAGACCTGCTCTGAGAACTATGAGGGAAAAGCTAAGTTATTCCTCTGAAAAAGAGATTATTCTTCCTGGCATACAAAAAACAAAAAGAAAAAAGACTAGGTTGAGTGTTTCCATATGGTAAAATTCTTGGAGGTTTCTTTGAAGGGAGGCACATGGCCAAGGATCTCAGCTGGAAGGCTTGGACCTGGGCAAATACACTTAACTGTTCATAACTGAACTACTGACTGGTAGCTGAAGGTGTGCAGTAAATTATAAACAGCTTTCCTAACATTCACCTGCATGATGGAGAGAGGGGGGTTTGGTCTAAATATTTTTCTTGGCCAAGAAATGAAGTGTTGTTAGAAATTATGGTTCTGAATCTGCTTACTCTAATGGATTGGGACGTGCTTTTCTAAGAAATGCAATAAATGGGATTATGTGTACAGACTTAATTCAGCCTCTTAATCTCTGTCAGTTCTGCCCTGGTGTCACAGTACATGGTCCTTGTCTCTCAGGTGTGAACGCCCTCAAAGATGAGCTCAGATGAAATGATCTGGGCTCTTCAAAGAGGCAGATGAACACTGCTTGCTGTTAAGGATTGCCTCTAAGAGTATCTGCTCATCTCAGTTGTTTGCTTTCTCCCTGCTCAAGTTAGAGCTGCAGGCCTCTTTACTGTGCATTATGCAAACCTCAGGATGGAGATCTGCATTTCTGTATGGGCTCTTCATCACTACACCATTCAGTGACTTAAAGATACTAAGTGATGTTTGCTGATGGAGAAGCAGCAGAGGCTCAGGATCCTGTTGCAGCCTGAGTTGTGCAGAGGAGCTGCCTCCAGTGACAAGACTTTTGCTTGTTTTTCCAGCATTAAGTTTTCTTCTCTGTTCCCTTCAAAACAATGATTTCCCAGATTTATCTCAGCCTTGGAATAGACCTCCTTTTTCAAGCTTTAATTTCTCTACCACCACAATGTCCCTTTCCATCTTTCTGCTCTTTCACTGGCCTCTCTGAAACTCCCTCCTAAGTGTCTTTCTCTGGCCTTTCTCACTGTATTCCCCACTTCCTCCTGCACTCAGTCCCAGCCTGTCATTTCAGGAGCAGCTGGGCCAGCATAAATAGCTTGTCCCTGCCAAAAGGGAGTAGATCATGTGTTTTGTCTTCTTTCACTTGTCTGCTTCCAGACATACAAGATTCTCCATCCCAGTTTACTCATTTCCTTCCCCACTGTGCTGACTTCTTTCTCTTTTTCATTGGCTTAGAAATATCTCACTGTTTAATGGTACTTTTTCTACTAAATTGTACAAAAGACATAGTTTTGTGATTGTTTCTTTTGAGGAGTGCCTGTATAAATAATCTGCTGCCCTTTCTCCTCCTCTTGGTCCCCACTTCTTCTCTCCCGTGCCAGCACAGATGGCTCTGCAGCCACGCTGGGACTTATACTGGGAAACCAGTCTTGGTTAGGAGCAACCCAGCACCAGCAGAAGTCTCTTCTCAGACAGAACCACTACACAGGTTTGGACTGATGCAACTGAAGGGCTGGTAGGGGTTGTGAAAATGGGTGTCATGCCAAAAAAAGTCTCAGTGAAACATCAGTCATCACTTCCTTCCATGTTTCAGTTCCCAGTCTTGCCCCGGGCAGCAGGAATAGGAGCAGCAGTGAAATGAAAGTCCTTTGGAGTCTTCACAGCTGAGATGGGTCTGGCAGGAAGAGCTGAGCTTGTAGCTCCATGTGCTCCTTCTGTGCACCAATACTGGCTTAAGGAGTTTTCCCTCCTTGTGTTTTCCTGCCTGTTCCTGCCTCTCTCTGGTGAGCTGGATCAACCTGCTGCTCTGGGTGAAGATTATTTCTCTCCTTCCCCCTCCCCTGTTTTCATTGGAATGTTTTGAACCCAGATGAGTGGATCCAGTTTACCATGTGGCTGGATCAGTGCCAGATGTGTGGGGAGGAGGGAATGAGGAGCCAGGATGGAGGGACCATCCTGAGGTTCCTAGAGAGAATCATGGGGCCACCCATGCACATGTGACTCCAGTAGTGGTACAGGGAGGGGTGCATCTTCAGAGAGCCCCAGAAC